TATATTTAGTCGTTCCTATTAAATTCTGGTTCCATAATATTTTTTAAATATTGCTAAATGCAGCTTAATTTTACTTCGTGTAACTTGTTAAAAATACGAAAATATCTCTCTTCATAGATACTTAAAATACTGACATCAAATTGAAAATAGTAACATAAAACCGAATATTAAATGTAATTAGATTTAACATAAGAAACTAAATCAAAGTAATACCAATTCTGAAAGAAACGAATCATATTTTAATTTATCATAGGCATATTTGTTTTTTTTTTTTTTGGTTAGATATTAATTTCTTGTATTATCGAACTTGTTTTGCTTAAGAAAGAACTAAAAGGCAAATTTAGAGGAGAAGATCGATAAACAAGTGTGTCTCATTAAAAATAATTCTCCCAAATAATTACTTGTTGAATGTCGATGCCTCATTTTTTTCCTATTTTTTGTGTTCTTAGGTTTTCCACCATTGCAAACTATCAACAATCAATGAATATTTTGATTGTATATTTGAAAGAATTTGTGATAAATAATAAAAAGAGAGACAGTCATATAAAAGAGTGGAATGTTTAACGTTCAAGGGTATTTTAGTATTTTTCACAAACTGTACAAAGTAAAATTAAGTTACATTTAACAATTTTTTATTTTTTATTTTTTTAAAAAAATGAAGTATCAGGGAATTGTTGAATGTTTATGGAATTAGGATGATATTCTTTTGAGAGTCAAACTTTACAGTACCAACATATATAGATAGATTGAAGAACTTGGCATGATTAACTAAATCATATGGATTGTACCAATTATTTAAATATTTTGTCTGATCCTAAGTATAAAATAAAATTAATAATAAAATTAGTTTAAATTTATGTCTTACAATTAGAACTAAAGTAGTACAACATCTAGCATAATCACGGATGTCACTAAAACCTAGCCGAAATTTCTCATCATCACTAGAGTCGAACCAACCAAAGGGGTTGTGGTGGAGTGGTAAGGACTTCTCCACCCTCCACCATAGGTCGAGGGTTCGAACCTCGCCATGGGCATGGAATAATCGTAAGTCTTTTGACCAGCTCTCTCACCAATCGAGGTGTCTACCATGAGCAAGGGGATTAGTCACTGTCATCGACATGGGCATGGAACAACCTTAAGTTTTTTGACCAGCTCTCTCACCCATCGAAGTGTCTACCATAAGCAAGGGGATTAGTCACTGTCACCGACGGAGGACACTCTGTAATATGAAGAAAAAAAAATACTAGAGTCGAACCATATCTTTCTAGGTATTGAGTTTTACAGATTGATACTCTCACTGTAGAGGAAAGCTAGCTTTCTCGTGAGATGTATGATCTTATGATCAAGTTTCAAACAAAATATATATATATATATATATATATATTCATGCATTTAGGCGAAAAAAAAAGACATATGGTTTACATTAGAGAAAAATACAATCAATCTTATTTGTAAGGCATAATTTAGAGTCTCTATCCAGTATATCCGGGGGCATCATGCTCCCCCTCCTACTTTTTACACTACTAGTCCTTATTACACTTTTTTCCACTATTCTAAATAACATCCTATAATTTACAGGTTTAGTCCCTTTGATTTTTTTTCTCTCTCCTTTAAAAAACGTCTCTAATCTTTAAACGACCATATCTCTCAATCCGTGAAGAATTAGATAACGTGTTACACATGAAATTTATTGTTCTCGTCGAGATCTATCCAACAAGATCCATAGTGAATATTTTTTCCAGACTTTAAAATGATTAAATTCTGATGGGCAGAATGAAGGTGGATATCCAGTTTTACAAGATGGAAAACCAAGTTATTTTAAATTGGTTATCCGTTGTGTTCATGCTGATTATCCAACCAGTTTGAACTGGTTATTCAACTTGTTTGTACTGGATATCATCCATTTGGTTTGTATGCCTATCAAACTTGTTTGTAATGGATATCTCACTTGTTTGTACTGGATATCTATTTCGTTTGTACTGGATATCCAACTCACTTGTACTGGATATCTATCCATTTGGTTTATATGCTTATCCAACTTGTTTTATAGTTGTAATCCAACGGGTTTGTATGCATATCCAACTTGTTTGTGCTGGATATCCAACTCGCTTGTACTGGATATCCAACTTGTTTATACTGGATATCCATCCATTTAGTTTGTATGCCTATCCAACTTGTTTGTACTGGGTATTCATCCATTTGGTTTGTATGCCTATCTAACTTGTTTGTACGCACTGAATATTTATCCAACTTGTTTGTAATGGATATCCATCTATTTAGTTTGTATGCCTATCTAACTTGTTTGTAATGGATATCTCACTTGTTTGTACTGGATATCCATTTGGTTTATCCAACTCGTTTGTACTGGATATCCATCCGTTTGGTTTTTTCTTTTTATTATTATTGTTTTGAAAAAAAGAAATGGTTGTCCAACGCGTTCGTATTGATTATTCAACTGTTCTGTATAGATTATCCGACTATTTTTTTCTCTACTTTTTGTGAAAATCCTTGTCCAGTTTTTTTTGTACTGACTATCCAACCATTTTGTATGCCTTATCCAATCGTTTTCACTGATTATCCAAACATAATTTCTCTTTTTTTTCTTCTTTTGAGAAAAAATCTGTCCAATGTGTTCATACTGATTATCCATCCGACTTCTCAGTGATGGATGGTTATCCGACTTTTTTTTTCCTTGCTCTTTTAATGAAAATGATTGTCAGATTTTTTTGTACTGGTTATCCAACCAGCTTGTACTACTTATCCAATTATTTTCAATGATTATCCAAATTATTTGTAATGTTTATCCAAATATTTTATTTTTTATTCTTTTCTTCTTTTTTTTTTGAAGATGAGTGAATGTAAAAAATATGACTGGATAACAAGTACAAATAAAATGGATAATCAGTCCAAACCGGTTGGATAGATCTTGTCGAGCACTATAAAATTCATATATAATTTGTGTTCTAATTCTTTACGGATCAAGAAATATATGTAATACAAGAATATCAATCTAAACTAAGTTGGTTATCCATCTTCTTTTTTCTTTTTTTCTTTTTTGAACAGTGAATGTGAAAAATATGATTGGATAAAACAAAATAGGTAATTAGTCCAAACCGGTTGGATAATCAGTATGAACACAACAGATAATCATTTTTCAGTATATTCATTTCTGCCCGTAAGATTTAATGCATTTAAAGTTCAAAAGAAATATTCAACATCGATCTTATCAGATAGATCTCGTCGAGCACTATAAATTTCATATGTAATTCGTGTTATAATTCTTTACGGATCAAAAGATATAAGGAACATAACAATATGAATGTAAAATAAGTTGGTTATCCATCTTCTTAAGCTGGATATCCAATCTGTTCATATTGATTATCCAACTTCTTTGTGGTGGTTATCCAGTATTTTTTTTCCTTGCTCTTTTATGAAAATGATTGTCAAAATTTTTTGTACTGATTATCCAGTGTGTTGCACTGATTATCCAATTATTTTCTATTGATTATCTAAATTATTTGCAATGCTTATCCAATCATTTTTTCTTTCTTTTTTTTTTAAGAGTGAATGTCAAAAATATGATTGGATAACAAGTATAACAGAATGGATAATTAGTCCAAACCGGTTGGATAATCAGTAAGAACACAACGGATAATCATTTTTTAAAGAAAAACGAAAAATACATTTTCTCATTTCTGCCCGTAAAATTTAAATGCATTTAAAGTTCAAAAAAAAATAACCATGGATCTTATCGGATAGATTTCGTCGAACACTATAAATTTCATGCATAATTTGTATTGTAATTCTTTATGGATCAAGAGATATATGCAATACAAGAATCTTAATCTAAAATAAACTAGTTATCCATCTTTCTAAACTAGATATCCATCTTATTCTGCCCATCGAAATTTAGTCATTTGTAAACTCGAAAAAAAATATTCGACATGGATCTTGTTGGATAGATCACAATAAAATTCATGTGTAACACGTTTTCTAATTGTTGATGGATTGAGAGATATGATCGTTTGAATATTAGAGATATTTTTTTAGAAGAGAGAGAAAAAAGTGGCAGGGACTAAACTTACAAATAATAGGAAGATTATTAGGAAAAGTAAAAAAAGTACAATAAGGACTAGTAATGCAAAAAATAGGAGGGGAAGTATGGTGCCCCCGGGTGCATCCAATAAATTGCCCATAATTTAAACTCAAACTGAAAACGATAAATTCATAGTTTCATACAATAAAAAATTGTCTTATTGAAGGAGCGTCTGGTTGAGCAAAATCACATCCTCCCTCTTTCACAGTCTTCTTCCAGGTAAATTTGCTCATTTTATGTTTCATCTGAATCACCAAGCTCCATCAATGTGACATTAATAGTTATCACTTCTGTCTTTAAAAAAAATACCTACCAGTACAAATTTTAAAAGGCAATACGGACTATTTTCTCGGAACAGAATATCTAGCTGCTTGTTTGGACGACATCTTACATTTCATTTTGCCACTTAAAAGTGGAAAGTGTTTCAAGTTGAAAACTAAATGGGAAATGAAAATGTTGTTTGGATGGTATTTTGAGCAAAAAGTTGTTTGTATGTTGGTTTTGAAGAAAATATTTTGAACTACATTTTGAAAATATCAAGTACGAGTCATCACTAAACAATTAAATACTGCCAATTATAGTCACTGCAAAAAAAGAACTTTTCCAAAAACAATCATTCAACGACGGAATTCTGCCAAATTTGTCACTGAACTATTTATAGTTCTAAAATGATCATTACACTAACAAAAAGTATTTCAAGTTGAAATTTAAAATGTAAATCAGAAAGTTGTTTGAATGATGTTTTCTTTTTTATTGAGTTTTATATTTAAAAGATAAAATGAGTTAAAATATAAAATGAGTGGACGTCCAAACAAGGCCGCCTTTGTTACATTTAATAAACGAATTCCCTAGTGTACGGAGGGATAGTTAAAAATAGCAGTCGGTGACGGTTTCCAAAATTGGACGTGATCAGATCAGATCCAGTCGAGCCGTCAAGGTAACGTTCGTTCATCAACCCCAAAAGAAAAAAAAAAAAGACTAGGAAAATTCTTACCAAGGATCAAACCAAAGAAGTCAAAAGATCAAGGAATACGACATCGTATGCCACAAAAAGACAAGAAATAGTTCCCACAAAACACCCAGCCCACCAAAACAAAAACCGCAGCATCTGATGATCTAAGAAAAGATACCATCCATTATAGCTGAGTTCATCATTCTTGCTTACTTTCTGAGTATCTACTATTGGAGTATTTTCACTGCAATAAATACCCACACCCCATGATTAGTTTTTGAAATCTCTTGATCCATCATTATCCCATCATTTTCCTTATGTTGTTCACCTGAACATTTGACAAAAGAATTTCTCAAAAAATCGCAGCTTTTTTTGCTGACCCTTTTCCACTTTCTAGACACGTAAATTGAAGTTCAGTTTTTTAGCTGTGATCCTTTTTCACATTTTCTTGATTTGTCTCTTTTAGAGTTGTAAAAAGATTGTTTTTACGAAGACCCTTTATTCTGTTTTGCTGTAAAGTTCGCATCTTTGGTGGAAATCGAGTTACATTTTGATGAAAATGGCGTGCCAGGCGATGTACAGATGGAATTTAATTGATTTAGTGGGTGCTTTTGTTGAACTTGTTATAGCCTATTGTTTGTTGTGTGCATCTGCAATAGCTTATATGGCATCCAAATTTCTGGGATTTTTTGGTTTGCGTTTGCCTTGTCCTTCTTGTGGATTATATGGTGCTGATCCGAATAGGATTTTATGCTTGCAAAAGCTTTTAATTGATTATCCAACTGAGAAAGTTTCTAATGTTCAGCTTTCTGTGATGTCTAAGTTCCCTTTCAATGATTCAGTGTGGAGAACTGATCGTAATTATGATATGAATCTTAGGTTAATAGGAGATAAAGGGGGTGATCTTATTGAAATGGAAGGTGAGGCTTCTAGTAGTTCATTGTTATCCGATTCTGGGAAGCCGAATAGTATTGTTAGGATTAAAGGGGATTTGAATGCAGCTAAAGAGATGCGGGCGGCTTATGTATTTGGTGAGAGAGAGGGGAGGTTTGATTTAAAAGGTAAGGGGAGCATGCACCAGAGACTTAGGAGTGGGATTCGCCGTAGGAAGAAAGGGAGTTTTGACTTTGGGAAACATTCATCTGTTTCTTCGTATGATCGTTCGATTGGAGAAGTAAAAGATGGTGATAGTTGTTCTCCTCCTAGCATCAACAAGGGAGGGAATGATTTGGTTGAGGATGATACAGTCCATCAGCATTACGAAAGAGATAAGCATCCATTTAATTGTGAGTATTCTTTTGTTCTGTTTTATTTATTGATTCCTAAATCTCCGTTTTGGTTGTGACGTGAGGTTGGCAGTATTGGTGCCTATCCTTTTTGTTTCTTAAGGCTTGATTGTGTATCAGTGCACTGGTTCTTTAATGTGTGGGATGGTTTATGAGCAGGGAGTATTTGTTTTGCTAGAAATTTTTAATATGTGGTAGAATTTTGACTTGAAGCAAATTGTAGAGATGCTGCTTTGTTGTATATCTACTTTTGCTTTGGCTTTTGTACAGATTCTCATTATGGCTATGTCTCTTTGCATAGGTTTATATATTATCAGTGTGTTCACTTTCAAACGATGACATAAGACAGCAGTTGCTTGCTACTGACAAAGCGTCATGAAATTCAATTTATTTCTTATGATTCTCTGTTGTTATTTGGTATTGCTTGCAACAGATATTTGTTGCAAGATTTTCACTTCTTGCAAAGCTTTAATTCATTGAGGAATTTTTTTCAAAACTGGTTATCTGCTATGTTTTGTTACGCAAAAATATAGATATAATGGGATGAAGTTGACAGTAAACTCGATGGAAACGGACTAGACCCTTAAGTTTGTAATGCATCTTTTGAAATGATGATTTATTAGGATTGAAGTTCTAACTGTGATAGAAAATTTCCAACTAGTAGTTATTTCTAGAATGTGTTTTATAAGTATATCCGCCATTTTGATGTGTGCCTATATGTATATTTGTCTTCTTTAGTGAGTCCAGATACAGAAGAGACACCACCGATCTTAAAATGGGGGAAAAGATCTTCCAACAGGTTCGAACTTAGGGAGGCTGCTGATTGTCATGACGTGCAAGATAAAGAATTCAAAGATAATGGACATTTGGGACTGGATCTTAGTGGTGAAGATAAAAGTACTATAAGACTGTTGGAACAAGCCTTTGAAGAAGAGCAAGCTGCTCGTGCTGCTCTTTACCTTGAGCTTGAGAAGGAAAGAAGTGCTGCTGCGAGTGCTGCTGATGAGGCCATGGCCATGATTCAACGTCTCCAAGAGGAGAAGGCATCAGTTGAAATGGAAGCAAGGCAATACCAGAGGATGATTGAAGAAAAATCTGCCTATGATGCAGAAGAAATGAATATCCTCAAAGAAATCATTGTCCGTAGAGAGAGGGAAAATCATTTCTTAGAAAAGGAAATTGAGCAGTATCGACAGTTGAGTAATGTTGGAAATGAACGTTCCTCAACCGATGAAGCGGATATGTTGGGCGACCAGCAAACTCGTTTTGATTACTTGTTTGATACAAATGATGATCCAATGCTGATGCTACACCATCTAAGCTCTACTATTGATAAGAAGGTTATGGTTGACACTAAAAGGCTGGATGAGACTGCGCCCATGTCCCCTGGGAAAAGTGAACTTGCTTCTGAGAACAAATTGTTGTCTCAAAATTCAGTAGCTGCTTCAGCAATTCAAAAGCAAGGAGATACTACCGGTAACCTCTTGGATAATAGTGTTGAATCCAGGGATTTTCAAGAGAAGCTGATATCTGTGGACTCGTATGCTTCCACGGAGTATTTTCCAAGGTCAGAATTCTTATATCAGTCATGTACAGCCAGTAGTTCCGAATATAAGGAGACCTCAACCACATTGGGAAAAGTAGAAAATTATCATGAGTATATGAATGTGCCTGCTGAAATAGCTGAAAGTAGTGCTGAAATTTCACCCATTTCACATGGTAATGTGTTTCTCAAGCAGCCTGGAAATGATTCATATCCAGGAACACACAACTCATACAGTGATTCATCTGGAAAAAAATTTCATGTTCACGATGTCCATGTAGTTGTTGATCAAGCCAATTTGTCTAATCAAGAAAAGGGAACTGAAGTTGATTTTGTGTCAGGGAGCACTTCAGGAATTCTTGGAAGCAGTTATGCCCCATCTGAAGCTTCTGCTGTGAAGAAGCGAAGCGCTGCTAGTGCTAGCATTTGTCAGATTTCTAGCAGTTCAACTGGAGAAGTTAATCGGACGACTTCAGACATATCCAGTAGGCTTCCACCCATATGTCCAAAAGGAAAATCACCTGTTTCTGATTTCCGCAGGAACTCATTGTCCGATATAGATAATGAACGGTTAAAAATTGGTTATGAAGTTGGATGGCTTCAAGAAAGGTTAAAGGCGGTTCAAGAGGGAAGAGAGAAACTAAACATGTCTATGGAGCGACAAGAAAAAGAAAATGTGCAGTTGAAGCTTTTGGAGAATATAGCAAATCAACTTAAAGAGATTCGTCTGCTCTCAGAACCTAGATATGTAGCCCGTCAGTCTTCGTTGCCCCCTCCATCCTCTAAGGTCTGGCACTTCTTTTTCTTGGTCTTTATGTCTGAAACAGCATGGACTTTTGCTTGGTTATGTTCTTGGTTCCCCCTTGATCCTGATACTTCTTTTGTCTTTCCTCTTATCCGTCTCATGGTTGGATATGCAACCTGTGAACCTAATTTAGTACCAAATGTGGAAGACAGCAGAACCTTGTTTCGTAGTGATTTCTCTTGAATAAATTCGTGGCCAGATTGTGGCCTAAGCATATGCATTATAACATTTGCTGGTCTTACTCTGTATCTGTGAAGAAGCATTTTGTGAGAATAACTTTCCAGGAGCTTATTTTTTATGTTCTATTACTTCATATATTGGTTTTATATTAACTTAGCTGTGGTTCATCGAATTCCCTCGTTTTTGCTATGTGTTTGATTTATCTTTCCTTTTCAAGTAACAAGAAAGAAATGATTCAGTGAAGGATATAGATCTGTCGTATCTCGCTGAAACAATTTTCCTATTATAACTCGTGCAGAATGCAGGCTACTTGGTTTTTTATTTTTTATTTTAATTATTTTATCTTCCGGTTAAGAAAGCGAATGTAGTATCCCAGCTTTATATGAACAGCTTTCGTAGTTGGTGTATTGTATATCCCAGTGAGACTTTCCTTTTTTCCCTTTCCGGTGTATTTGGATTCTTTGTTATGCATTTTAATGGTTAGTTGTTGCTATCATTGGCAGGTTATCTCAAAGAAAAGACGGTCAAGAAGTGTTTCCACTTCCCAACAGACAAGCTCTTGAGGTACTATGCAAAGGAAGTGGATTCCAGTTCACGTATTTGCAGCGTTGAATTGAAAATAATGGGTTATGCTTGCTGAAGCATGCTTGTAGCAAAGTCAACCAAGACACCTGAAGAATTGAGCTGCAAAGCTTGCCCTTTGCAAATGTAGTCCGTCATCTGGAGGAGTCTTGCCAAGCCTGACCGAAATCCTCTGAGGTCAGTCTGGGCTCCATTTGTTCGCAAGAGCATATAGTGGAGAACCTAAGAATTAACAAACTACAGAATATAGTCATTTGACTGAGGTCAGATAGCAGTTTCGCTTTCCTGTATATATGACTTTTTATTTTGTGTATTCCAGTAGTTGATTTTTGTTGAATAATGCGAAAGGAAAAAGGTGTATGTTTTTCCCAAGCTTCTTTCTGATGTACATCTGGTATAGATGGCTTAAACAAATTAGAGAGATTTGAGGGATTTAATGCTCATATGTTAATCTTTGGTCGTGTCGAGGATTATCTCACAAACAATGTCTGTTGCGTTGATTTTTTCTTGGTAGGTAGTGGTACAGTCAACATCTTGGTTTAGATTATCTTCTTCACAATTGATAAAAAGACCTTGGGGCTTTTACATATTGTTGGTTTATGTTTTCATGTAGTTTTGATGTTGGTTCTTTTATGTTCTAATAAATAAAAGTTAATTGTTGTATTGTTCAATTTGGAAACTGTGTTGGAAATATTAAAGGTGGTGCTGGAACACTAAAATTTAAGCTTTATGATAAATAGTGAGATGCAAATTAAAAATGTGATGAGTCAGAAGTGATTCTTTGCTTGTTCAAGGGCAACAAAGAAAAAGTTTCCCGAAGCAAACCATCTTAAAATTTATTTTTGCTGCCCCTCATTTCAAAATGAGTGTAACTTAGTGTTTGGCCCTTCAAGTTCCTATGGCTGTGTAACTTGCCATGAGAAGTTAGTATATATATTGTGGTGAATGGTGATAGAGTTGTAGTTTTAGCACCTTCATCATTTAGAATATGCACAGTTTCATTCACTAAGAATGATAAGAACACCAATAATTATGATTAGTACACTCAGCCAGTGGATTCAGGTATTCTACTGCCAAGAATGAAAGAACCACAAGCGACCGAATTGTTCTCCCAACTATAGCCTAATTGAATTGAGCATCACATGGACAACACAAAAGAACAGATCAGGATTTCTCACAATAAGGTGACAGAATCGTCCAATCTGACCTCTTGGAACAACTTCATCCTTCTCGAAACAAGAAGGTAGGGAAAGAGGTTGTGCTGAGGCGAGTGTTAAAAACCCTTGTGGACGAACGGGCACTTCTCTGTTGATGGACCATACAAGATCAAAATATAAGGGAAGCTGTGCAAAAGCGTAGAATGTTATTGGCAAACATGTGGCGGTGTAAATTGGATATGCTGCATTTTCAAGCTGATCTCTTAGAAGGAAGAAATGTCCCGCACAGAACGAGATCAGAATTGCAGCTATGGAGGTGAAGAGGGAACTTAATCCAAACAGAAGCTTTTGTGGCAAATCAGATCTGAAATCCTTTTGTTTGCATCTTGAGGTAAGGATTGCTAGGAAAAACACCAGGGCAGTGACAGAAAAACACAGGGCTACTACTGAACCTATAGAAAACACTAGAAATGCAGGCTGACCTTCAAAAATAGGATTGCCACTTTCTGGATTAACACCACCTGGCACTGTTGATGACGTCGCGAATGCCACCGTCGCAATGAGTGCTGCCACTAAGGAGCATGACTCAGGTTTTAATTATCCATTGACTTCCCTTTTTTACCAGCGATTCATGTGTCTTCCTGAAAATTTCAGTTGCAGTTTCTCTCTTCTTGTTGTATTGAATGAAATACTGGGGTGGCATTTTTTGTTTGACATGCTGCACCACAAATTGCTTGGTCAATCTTCTCTGAGTATGATGACATGGCTTCCGTTTCTGTACTACTTTTACATCAACTATTAAGAACCAAATTCATACAATGCTATTTGGAATTTGGAACAGTAGCACAATGCTCATCTTATAGAATCTCAAACCTTGAAGTTCATATATCTTCTGTTTTTTAATTGTGTTGGAAGAGGAAATTAGTTTACAAAGTGGTTCATATGTGTACCTTATACCACTTGATTTCCCATTGCATCTGCAATGCAGCACCTGGAATCCGCCACGGTTGTTGATTCTGAAATTTGCAGCAAGGTGGACAGCGCTATTTCCCTCGTTGTCCACTTGATAAAGCACAGATTCGGGTGGCTTCTTCTCCAACAGCAAATGAAACACTTCTATTTGCCTGCTTTCAACTGCCAGAAGTAGGGCATTCTTCTCATTGCTGTCTACGTCTTGAATGGCCACGGGAAATTCCTCCAGAATCTTATTTACCATTTCCGTAATACCCATCTTTGCTGCTAGTAGAAATGGTGTCTCCTTGGCATTCTTTCCTTCGGTAAGTGTTTCATGTTTCTTTTCCACTGTTTCTGTAGTAGCCATCTCTGCAGCATTGGAGGGTTTCCTGTAAATGCTTTATAATCCTTCACATAGGGTTGAAATTTTAACATATAATTACCTGGTTGATTCTGATATTGGTATTCCGCATAGTTATCCAAATAAGTCTCATGATCTAGTGGTGGTGTTTTGGAAGGATCGGGTCGTTCTGCATACAGTGGCCCCATTTCGTCTGTTGGCGTTTCCCCGTTATGATCATATTCGTAAGCTGATTCCGGTTGAATCAGTCTATTCATAATTTTAACCACTAATTTATGCCTCTGTTTCTTCTCTTGGATTTTACTGATTCTCCAGATGCCTGAATGGCGGTGAAAGATCTGTTAGACATTAAGCAGTTCTCAAAACTTTTGAATAGGACAGTTCGGTACTTACCCATTCCTAACATAGTCAGGATAATGTTCACCAGTAATTTGAAAAGCAGAACCCCCGTCGCGTAGTTATGTGGAAATAAAGTTTGGCATTCTTCATCTCTTTTGTTTTGATTCTCTTCATCTCTTTGGCCACTTTCTTGTCTTCTTTTTCCACAATCTTTCTCAAGACCAACTGGAAAGAATGATTTCTCAGCTTAGAATTTTAAGTTACTGTTATGTAGTAGATAATAGTGCAATATGTCAAATTCACGTACAAACAAGCTTGAAAGCAGCCCCTGGCAAAGACAACAAGTTCCCACATGTTTTGTAGTTAGCTGCTGGGTAGCAAGTATCATCTCCCTTGGACGGACTAGTTTTCTCGAATGTTTCATGAACAATTGCACCTTTTAAGCATTGAGAGGGAAGCTGTTAGTATAATCTGATATGTGGAGACAAAACACAAAGTTTAGGGGCAAAGTTGATGTAAGAAAAGTTTAATGAACTGTCTTACAGCGATACATAAACTGATCAAATAGTTGAAGATTGCTGCTGCTCTCAAATAGATTGGGTTTCCTGGCAAGGAAGTAGAGTGGAGAATAGCCTTCTTCATTTACTGCATTTACTAAATTTTGATAGTCAATGATTATTCGGTTTGCCAGCTCTGCAGTGGGAAGGAAATAGAGGTCTAATGTCATTAAACTCAGCTGATATGGATGCATTTCGAGGGAAAAAATAAAAAAGATCTCTCACCAAAGTATTCTCCGGATATGGCAGAGTGCAGGATGGTATCACCATCCTTCCTTCTGCAGACCGACTCATCTGGCTTCTCATCTTTATCTTCATTGTAAAGCTCATGAAGCTTGGTATATGCTTCCGTTTGTCCATGATGAGCTCCCAAGAACAATGGAGTTTCACCTTTGTCATTCCCGTTGTTGCTGAGCTCTTTACCCTCCCCCGCTATGCATTCACAGATACCCACACTTCCAAGTGCCGCGGCTAGATGAAGAGGTGTGTTCCCTTTGCCATCCTTCGACATCAGTATTTTAACTCTCTCCACCTTTGGAATGAATTCCACCAGTTCCATAACTAGTTTTTTGCTTGCATTGGGTTGATCTTTATTGTAACTTGAGACAGCAATGTGCAAAATTGTCTCTTCTGATTTAGTTAGCTTGGCCTTACCAGCATTGATGGGATCTTTCTTGTACTCAGTCTTGACCTCTTCCCATTTTTTCTTCATCGCACGGTTAAACAAAGTTTTTCTATTGAATCTGGGTGGTTTTTCTTGTTGGTTTGCTGTGCTCATTTTTTTTTTATGTGTTTGTTCTGTGCTCTTTGATTTGTTACCACAAATTGGCCGTATTTATAAATAGGCTGCCGGCATACTGTCACTGATATCAGAAGGCAGGTACCACCTTGAAACAAATCATTAATATATTGCAACATCATCTTCATGTATGAAGCCTAGAGTCGGGCACCTCCCAAATTCCCTTATTATATCCAAAGATTCTTTTCTTGTAATGATGGTGTACTTTGTGCAGGATCCCCTCTAGTTTTCTTTCTCTTAAGAAAGGAATTAACCTAGTAATCCCCTTTAATCAGCAGCATAAACCAGGGAGAGGCATCTTTATCCTCTGATTATACCTTACTTCCTCTTAACATTAGATTAAGTGTCAGACCATCCAGTTGATCTATGCTTATGTCGTTGGGAATCTCGGCCCCAGTTTGTGCGTGCAAAAGGCCATAGTTTTTCAAGTTTCAAAAGCTGCTGTCATGAGTAGCACTGTCAAGGAAACTTACAGTAATATTTACTAAAATGTTATGGAACCTTTAAAAAAAACTGTCGCTAGCTAGCTTCGTTTCTTGTTATGGCAGCATTACTGCATTAGTAATGAGTTTAGTGCTTAAGGAGTAGAATTAAGGGTTTGAATCATACTTTCTCGGAGATTTTCTTCATTTCCATCTTGCGCCATCCACCACACAAAAACAATAAAATTGTTTATCAGTTCATTGAATATGACTTGTCTTTTTTGAAACAGATGGCTAAAATGTATGACTAATCAACCCATTGAAAATAGTATTTGATTTTTCTCAAATAATGTACATTGAAAGGATCTGTATTCTTTCAAGGTTCCTTCAAATTTATATTTTCTACTATAAATGGCAGAAATGAATTAGTGAGATATTGTGAAGGGTTTAATATATATATATATATATATATTTATTTATTCTCTTTGTGGAAATGAGTGATTTACTCGAGTTCATTCAAATAGTTTCGGTGACTTTCTGCTTGTTCAAAGTTCGAGAACTGTAAAGGTTAGCACAAGCATTTGAGACTTTAACAGTATATGACCTAAGTATCTTTTAGGAAGTGACTTTGAAGTTGTTAGGTCTTGCAAGTTCTTGTGACCTCGTAAGTTGCCAAAAGGATGAAATACAAATAGAGGTGAGAGTTGTAGTTTCAGTCACCTCCATAATATAGAATGTGCAACGTTTAATCCTCATGCTTTACCCCAATGTTAAGAATGCATGCGTTTGACATTGTACATTTAGTCTGTGGATTAGTAGTGTCAAATTGTCAAGAGCGAAAAAAGTACATCAGGAACCATTTCCAAAGGCCAAAATGTTGCAACCCATTTGGCCTAAATTCTTGGAGACTTCGAGTGTCGTATGGAATTCACCAAAAGAAACGGTTACAGAACCATCCAATTTGAGCTCCAGGAAGGGCTACATCGTCCCTGAAACAAGAAGCCAGGGAAACATATTGTTCTGGTACTAGAGGTAAAATACCTTGTAGCTACGAAGGGGCACCTTTCTTGTAATGGACCAGATGAGATCGAAATACAAGGGCAGCTGAGCAAAAGCATAGAATGTTATTGGCAAACATGCTGCAGTGTATATTGGATATGCTGCACTTTCCACTTGATGTTGGAGAAGGAAGAAATGTCCTGCGCAGAAGGAGATCAGAATGGCAGCTATTGAGGTGAAGAGGGAACTTAATCCAAAAAGAAGCTTCCTTGGTAAATCATATCTGAAGTCCTGTTGTTGGCATCTTGAGGTAAGGATTGCTAGGAAAAACACCAAAGCAGTGACAGAAAAACATAGAGCTACTACTGAAGCTATCGAGAACACTAGAAATGCAGGCTGATTTTCAAAAATGGGAAGGCCGCTGTTTTGATCAACACCACCTGGAACTGTTGAGGAAGTCGCGAATGCCACTGTTGCGATAAGTGCTGCTACTAAGGAGCACGACTCGGAGGTCTTAATGAGCCATTCACTTCCATCTTTTACTAGTGTCACATGTGTCTTCCGGAAGATTTCATTGGCAGTTTCACCTTTCTTGTTGTATTGAATGAAACATTGGGGCATCATGGTTCGTTTAACATGCTGCATTACGAATATTCTTTGCTTACTTCTTATGAAATAAGTATCAAACTGGTTTTACTTTGAAACTTACTTTTACTACCCAGATCAGAAAGAATAGGTTTATGTATACCTTATACCATTTAATTTCCCATTGCATCTGCAGTGCAGCACCTGGAATGCGCCATGGCTGGTGTTTCTGGAACTTTGCCGCAAGGTGGATTGCACTGTTTCCCTCATCATCCACCTGATAAAGCACAAATTCAGGTAGTTTCATATTCAGCAATAACTGGTAGACTTCTGTTTGCCTGTTCTCAACTGCCAAAAGCAATACGTTCTTCTCATTTGCATCCAAGTCTTGCATGGCTACAGGAAATATGTCCAGAATCATTTTTACCATTTCGGTAATACCCATCTTTGCTGCAAGTAGTAGTGGAGTTTCCTTTGTGACCTTCTTTGTTCCAGGAATCGTTCCATGTTTCTTTCCCGCCATGTCAGGAACAGCCATCTCTGCATGAGCCGTAAGGGGTTAGGAGTAATTGCTTCTTAATCTCTGAAGACTGAACTGATTATTGAAATTCTGAGAAAATGGCTTACGCAGAAATATTTACCTTGTTGAATCTCGTGTTCCTGCTCCTTGTCTTTGAATTTTTTCTCAGTATTATGATTTTCTATGGTTGAATGAGAATCAGGAACCGGTGGTGGCACTGATGGAGGAGCAAATCGTTCTGCATACATTGGTTCCAATTCTCTGGTTGGTGTTCCACCGTTATGATCATATTTGTAGTCTGATTCCAGCTTAATCATTTTTTCCATAATCTCAGCAGCCCATTTGTTCCTTTCTTTCTTTTCTTTGATCTTACCGATTCTCCAAATGCCTGAATGTGGCAAATGATTTGTTAAATGTCGAGCAATAATCAGAACCTTGCTAGTGTAATACATTAGTGATTTTCTGAATAGAAGCTCCGAATTAACCAGGAATTTGTGAACGCTAACTGTGAAGCTGACGTTTATTGTTGTCCTTTAGCAAAATATAAGGAATCAACTTTAGTCAAAAGTATGTTTCAGCAATGGAGTGCAAAAGATCAGATCATGGGTGCATAACAAATCACTAAACATTTCATTCAAGAACGATGTTGGTTTAACGGAGATGTTGCAGTTAATGGATCCGCAGTTACCAGTTCCGAACATGGTCAGTAGAATGTTGATGAATAACTTGAAAAGGAGAACACCAGTAGCATAGTTTGGAGGAAACGATGCTTTCTTCTTGTACACTTCTCCTGTTCAATTTAATAAGTAAAATGATAAGCTTAGAAATGCAAGTAAACCACATTTCCTCCCTTCTCTTCGCATTGTTAACTTTCTGTTTTCATATTTGATTGTGTTTTTTTCTTCTCTCTGTTGCTTTTATTACTGTCTGGCATTTGATGTTTTCTTCTTGATAACTTCTCCTGATATGTTCTCTTTCTTTTTTTTTTTCTTTTTTTTTTCTCTCCATTCAAGATCAGCAAAAGCAACTTCAAACACTTCTAACTAAAATAAGTGCAAGGTTGGAGAGACCTCGATGTGCCTGATCTTTCTCTTTTGGATTCTCTTCATCCGTACGTAGTCCTCCTGTACTACAACCTATCCAAATTGAAACTGAGTAAGGACTTTCTTCCTCAGACTTGCTAGTATGAGATATAAAGAGAGGGCATGGCGATTACTTACCGACTACTCTGAAGGCATCCCATGGTAGAGTGAAGAAGTTGATACACGTTTGATAATTCTCTGGGTGGTTGGTACCATCTCTGCAACAAGGACTATTTTTGTGCGAAAATTTATGCTTATCAAGTTCATGAACAACAGCACCTTATATGCAGATGAAAGATGGATGCTGTTAGTAAAATTTAGTTTGGGGGATGAAACAATGCTTAAAATGTGAAATGTTGTATAAACGTTTTGGAATATCCTTGATTGGTTATCTTACAGCGATAGATGAACCGGTCAAAGAGTCGAAGATTGCTGCTGCTCTCGAATACATTGGGCTTCCTGGCAAGGAAGTGGAGAGGAGAAAAACCTTCTTGATTGACAGAATTGACAAGCTTTGGATAATAAGTAATTATCTGGTATGCCAGCTCTGTATAGCAAAGGAAACACAGATTGTTGAGGTCATTCAATATTGATGATGTCGTTGGTAGGAGGAAAAAGAAATAAAAATAAAATAGTCTCTTACCAAAGAATTCTCCTGAGATTGCAGAGTGCAAAATGGTATCACCATCTTTTCTTCTGCAAAGCGAATCATCTGATTCTGTACCTCCAATGTCATTGTAAAGCTTATGCAGGCATATAAATGTGTCCTTCTTCCCATGATGAGCTGCCAGGAACAATGGAGTTTCGCCCTTCAGATTGCGGTTGTTGATGAGCTCTTTATCATGCCCTACTATGCAACGGCACATGCGCTCGCTTCCAAGGGCTGCGGCTAGATGAAGGGGCGTGTTCCCTTTGTCATTCTTCAACATCAGTACTTCATCTCCAACATGCTCCCTTCGAATGATTTCCAGCAGCTGATCAACGATACCCTCGAGTTTTTTGGCATTAGGTTGATCTTTACGGTAACTTGAGACAGCAATGTGCAAAGCCGTCTCTTCAGATTTGGTGAGCTTAGCCTTGGCTGCATCATAGGGATGTTTCTGGTACACTTTCAAGACCACTTTCCAATTCTGTCGCATGGTACGTTCAAACAGAAAATCTATATTGAACTCTGAGGGTAACTCATCTTCTTCTTGGTTCTTTTTCGACATTTTCCTATCTGGTGTGAAGCTGTACTGATCTTCACATTTTTACCACTGTCCCTATTTATAATGTTACCATGGGGTGCCATCAGAGTTTGCAGTTTGTTGAATTGTTTAATATGGTCTAGATACCCTGCTGTCATCTACTTCAAAAGGGATGTCAGTCCCAATTATTCAAATCATTTCTAGGACTTTTTTGGCCTTCATTAGCAAGCAATATAATCATCATTCAGGTATCTAGTCCTCTGCATTTCAAAATGCATTTTTTTTTTTTTCTGTTGATCATATCTAAGGATTCTTTTCTTGTAATGAGTGTGCATTTACTTTTGTGCAAGATCCCCTCTAATTTTCTTTCTCTAAGAAAGGAAATACGAAAATGTTAAAAATAACCCTGAAACTCTCACCATCAGGAAGAGTATTCTTTGAGTGGATATGGCCAGAGTATCTACTTTGCAAAAGCTTCTTTATTATGTTCCCATGAATCTTATGATAACTAGCTTACATATTAGAAAAATTTGAGCAAATGATGTTCATAATGAAAGCATGTTATTGAGTCCTTGAAACTGTTCTTTGCTTCCTTTCTTGTCATGTTGGTCTAATGTACACTTTCCCAATTATCAGACTTTTATGAAGATAAAGTTTGCAAACCTTGGATACTGATTAACTACAGAAGTTATTCAACTGACAGAAGTTAGAGTGCAGTTTCACCATCCCATTTATTAGTGCACTTTGTGGAACTTTTAAAAGTACATATCAAAGTGGACTATTAAAATGGGACGAAGGTAGTAGTTGAGCTGTGTTAGCTAGAGCAGATAGACATTCATCTATTTGCAAAATGGCTTTAGTTATCTTATGTTAATCTTTCTTTTTGGGTTGATCTGCTCAGAATCTCTCCAGGATTACCAAAAGTTAGAGCTGCATCTTCTCTTAGTTTTATTAGTTCACATGTAATCAAGAAGCTTCGGCGCTTTTCTGCTCGTTCGAGTTGAAAGGTTTCCAGAAGCATCGAGATTTACCACCAACCAATCAATCTTTATTAAATGAGCCATATGGCAGTCTTTGTAGTTTGGCCTTGAAAGTTCTTATAAGGATCGAGTACAAAATAGTGGTGATAAGAGTTACAGTTTTAGTTGATTCACAATGTAAATACTTCAAGGTTAAGAACACATGTATTTATGACATAGGCAGCCTGTGGAAATAGTGTTAAATTGTCAACAATGAGATATCCAGTTGTAAATAAATAAATGAATGCCTAAAGAAAGGGTCAAATTACTCAATTGACAAAGATTTTTATTTTTTAATTTCCCACTAATTCGAATTCTAGCTCCATAGGTCCCAAAATTACAACATTGAATGCGAGGAAAATTGGGACTTAATTCTGACCAGTTTCCCCTGTAAATATCCATTTAAATACAATGAAAAAACTTGCACCCAAGTGAAAAGAATCAACTTTGTCTTCTTTTTCTATTTCTTCAAGTATTCTAGTTTATAAAGTAAATTCTTTACAAACCTCAACTATGTCTATTATCATTCCTTTCATATTTTGTTATAGAGATGCAATTTTTGACACGACTCAGAATTTCGATACGAACCCGACATGAAATAAGCAGATTAGGGTGGAGAATTTGGACCCGTATAATAAACAGATCGGGTTAGGGTTGACCCGTTTATTATGTAGGTCGGGTTCGGGTCAACCTGCCGGGTTATTCGGGTTACCCAGATAAATGTAAATTGTGCATTTTGTAGGGATATTTTTGGAATTTAATACAAATCTTAATCCTAATTTTACTCTCATATATAAACTCCTTATGATGTAATCAACCCACTATTACAAGTTTACTCCCTTAGGCTGCCTCATTCTGTTGCTTCGTCTATTTCTCCCGGCGGCCTCCAACCAAAATTCCCCAAAACTGAGAAACCTACTGCCAAAATTCCTAAATCGGCTTTCCTGCTCATCAATTATCATCTTCTTGGCGGCCTTCGACTCAAATTCTGATCAGATCTGACCATCATCAGAGGGTCTCTCTTCTTCTCTCCAGATCCGGTAGATGTCTCAGGTTTATTTTTTCCTCCACCAAACTTTCATCCCGTTTTTTTTTTTTCTATTTCTCTGAGTTTTTTTTTCCCAACACCTAGCGGGTGTTTTTGAGGGCGAAATTCTTTACTTTTTTTGGATTTTTTTTAGTTGCTACTAACTGAATCTTGCGCTATTCTCTCCATATTTGCAAAAGTTTCAGCAAACACATTCATATTTCATCCATAATTTTGTATGGTGTGCACAGGTGGTCTTGAGGTTAGTGGCAGTGAGATCGATGTTGAATTGCTGATGATGCCTCAATTAAAGATGGAACTCAGACAAGTGCCACACAAGAATCTCAAGATGGTGGACAATCTACTGTAATTGGAATGCTACTTATTTGGATTATGGTTGTAATTTGTAATTTGGTAATTTAAGCTGTAATTTATCCTTTGGTGACTTGCATTTTGAGGTTGTAATATATGATTGGTAACTGAAATTTTTAGACCTCATATGTTAGTGAAATTATCAGTTTTTGTAAATTCAGAATTTTATTTTATTTTTTAAGAATTTCGGGTTAACAGGCCGGGTCACAGGTGACTTGACTATTTTCAGGTCGGGTTAGGGCCCTGAAATATTCAGGTCGGGTTAGGGTTGTGAAAGTCGACCTGTTTATTTATACAGGTCGGGTTCGAGTTGGCTATATTTTATCCGAGTTCGGGTCCGACCCGACACGCCAACTCGAACCCGACACGAATTGCCAACCCTATTTTGTTACAGTAAAATACATAAGATAAGGTGCAATTAATTTTTCTATGATTAATTCCATTAATAATTTAAATACGTAGTGTAGTATCTTTGTTTGGAACATTGTACTTGCACTTTAGTTTAAAATGCATTCAAATTTCTCTTTTAGTTATTATTTAATACTAGTAGATGTCTCGTTTGTTGCCGGGTATTGTAAAGTAGGAAAAGAGAAAAAATACATGTTGAATAATTTAATATTTAATATTCTGCATTATATTTTTTTAAAAATTTCAAATAAAATAAACACCAAAACCATATGTTTGATGATCATTAATAGAATCTTGGTTTTTCCGTTCAAGGTTCCTAAATTGGCAGCCTCATCAGCAAATATTTACTTTTTTTTCAATGGATTTTGCCGCAAAGAAGAAAAAAAGAAATTTTCTTTTTGTTATTTTCTTTCCGCCCTTTACTTGTACATCAAAATCATTAATAAAATTCTAAAGAAATAAGGAATCCTACAAAAAAAAAAAAAAAAGGTGTTGATGATTCTAAAGGACGCATAGTAGTAGCATTTGTTTAATCAAAACAAAGTTATAAAAAAACGCTTTTGCGAATGAATGCACTGAGTCAGAGCTGGACTTAGAAAAAGAAAACAAAAAGAGCATAATTTACCTGGTAAATTTTGTAGTGGCGATTAGAGCGTGCAATTGGATAATTTATGAACAACAGTATTTAGAATTTCTTTTAAAATAATAAAACATCTAAAATAATAAAACCATATAAGATGATCACTACACATTACAAATTTAAATAACATCAATGAGAATATTAGTTTGATAAGATGTTTAGATTTTTAATTTTCATATTTCCGTTTAAGATTTTTTTTTAACTACTTGTAACTAATAAGATTCATCAATATTAATCAATTAAATAAATATAATTTTTTAAGTTCTGGATAGGTTAAAGTAAAAATTACATCAAAATATTTATAGCATCTAATTGAGCTCTATTTGTCAATTTTTCTAATCAGAAAACAATTTCACGCTACACATGCAGAAAACATCTTGTTTTAATATATAACTAGATGTTTGGCCCAGGCAGATGCCCGGGCGCCCCTTCTAAATTACTATTTTATTAAAATCTAATTGAATTACTATTTTTTTGAGGAATTAATTTGGCGTATATATCATTTATGCTATGGTTTGGGGCTTAAAAAAATATACCTATAAATCTGAGTTTATAAGGGAATAATAAATAATTAGTTTATAATGCATTATTCTTAATTACTGGATTTAAGTTTTTTATTTTTTGTTTATATTAAGCCTGCAAAACTGTATGATTGGACATTTAAATTTGAATTAATATATCCATTCGTTTGAAATGTAACTGATTTTTATTTGTAGAATTTTTTCATTGGATAAGTGTCACATCTAAAACATGTGTTTATTTTTTTAAAAAAGAATTATATAGCTTCTAATTAAAAGAGACTTACACGTGGCAAAAAGACTCCTGAAATCTAAAATATGGTGCATTGGAGCCAAAACAGATGCATACGTAATTGCCACATAAGCTTCATGTCTTCTAATTTAATAGGGTAAAAGGGATATGATTTTTAAATACTGTTTCCAGTCCTTAATAAAAAACATTTTGATTTATCTTAAGTTTCATTTAGTATATTCTTTCCATTGAAAATAAAACCTTCAAACAATATTATAACAATTATGATTTATCCTAAATTTCATTTATTATGTCCTTTTAATTAAAAATAAAATTTTAAAAATATATTTTCACATTAAATACATTCTCCTAATTATTACTTTCTCTGTCCCATAATTATTATCCAGTGTGACTTTTCATTTCTAGTACAAATTGTACTAAAAGTGAAATCTCAAATTGGATAATAATTTAGGGACAGAGGGAGTACGTATTAGTGTCCATTTGGTTTCTTGTCTACTTGTTTCAAGAACAATGTAGTTGCACCAGGAGCTCAAAATTGGATGAAAGCTAATAAGATCTCAATGATTTGATTTGATTTTTAGAAAAAATCTAACAAAATTAAAAATTTACTTCTTACAAAATTTACTCTTTTTTTCTGAGTCACTAAAGCTAAATTTTAGATTTAGACAAGTTTTTGATTAAAAAAAAAACATCAAACCGTACGTTTGTAAAATGTCTTCCCTGTTAAAAATGCAGAACAGTAGAAGCGTAATTATCAAACCCTACCCAATCAGCCATGGAATCCGCTTCAGATCCTCTAAAGAGAAACAAAATCAAACTGCAAGCGGAGGGAATCCCCCCTTCCTCTGCTCCTCCTAATCATGAATCAGACCTTTCATTGATGCCAGATTTCCCCCAACGAACTCTCCTTTGAAATCCTTTCAAGACTGCCAGCCAAATCATTGGGGAAATTCAAGTGTGTTTCGAAACTATGGCGTTCTTTAATCTCAACCCGAAGATTCATCAAAACCCATCTCGCATTAGCATCGGGAAGGGAGGATTATGGCCAGCATC